AGAACACAGAGAGAAATAAGAACTAACAGAAGACAAAGACAGGAGTACAATCAATAAAATGAAGGAAGAAATTAAATTAGTCTCAATAAATATTAATGGATTAAATTCCCCGGCCAAGAGAAAACGAACCTTTTAAAATTAGCAAAACAAAAAGTAGATATTGTGTGCCTACAAGAGGTACACATCCAAAAACAATATAGTAAATGTTTAAATTACCCAAAATTAGGAGTATTATATATAGCACTGTCAGACCAAAAAAAAAGGAGGTGGAGTAATGTATATTAGGGATAAAAGCCAAACAAATTTATGCTGAAGAACATGGATGAATACTAATGTTAGAACTAACGATTCAACAAAAACAAATATTATTGGTGGGGATATATGCCCCAACAACAACCAGAAGGAGTTGTATAATAGGCTATATGAGAAAATAATAGAAACAGGACAGGGAAATATTTGTTTAGTGGGGAATTTTAATGCTGTAGTGGATATTGAAAAGGATTACACCAGTGGTTCCCAAACTTTTTCAGTCCACTGCCCCTTTGGTGCTACAAACTCATCCTCGGTGCTCCCCACCCTGGAGTGGGATTCAAATTTCTGTGGGCGTGGCCTAATTTGAGGGTGTGGCTTGCTGGTCATGTGACTGGGTGGGCATGGCTTGCTGGTCATGTGACTGGGTCAGTGTAGCTTGCTGATCACATGACTGGGTAGGTATGGTTTGGTGGTCATGTGACTGAGTGGGTGTGACCAGATGACTGGTAAACCAAATACAAGTGGTCGTCACTTAATGGCCTGTTGTTTAACAAGTGTTCTAATTTATGACTGGCCTCCCCAGAGATACTTGACCTGTTTTTGGAGTTTTGACAGCCATGAACACACATACACACACACTCCCTTCCAACCCTGCTGGAGCAGGTCATTGGACTAGAATCAGCAAAGCATCTCTGATTAGATTCTAGTAGGGAATAGAATCTAATCAGATGCTTTGCCGATTCTTGTTGATTTGTTTTATTTGTATTTCTTTATTTTATGTTGCTGAATTGCATTGACATGTGTGTCCCTTCTTGTGCACAACCCAGAAGCTTTTGTGATTCTTTGCAGCAAAAATTACTGAACTCTGGCTTTGCTCTACTTTTCAAATGTGCTGCCACTGCCGCGTTCTAGGTGCCGGCCCCGCAGGTCCACCCCATTGAGCCTGCTTGACTGGAGGGACCTGCCCAAGCAAGTCAAGTCAATGGGGTGAGCTTGAGAGAGGGAAAGAGAGAGAGAGAAAAGAAAGAGAGAAAGAGAGAAGAAAAGAAAGAGAAAAGGGAAAGAAAGAAAAAGGGACAAAGGAAGAGGGGGGATGGAAGGAAGGGACAAAATGAAAAAGAAATAAAGGAGGGGGGGGGAAATAATGAGATATCTATTCTAGTCCAATTACCTGCTTCAGCAGGGTTAGAAGGGAGTATGTGTGTGTGTGTGTGTGTGTATGTGTGTGTGTGTGTGTGTGTGTGTGTTCTCCTTGTAATTTACCAGTACATTTTGGTTTTGCCTTCTTCAGAATTGGCACTGTAATACATTGGGAAAAGTAATTTTTTAGGATGGAGATCTGGTCCAATGGATCCTGTTTAAAGCCTCAACAAAATGTGAGAACTTCCTCATACTCTTGACCATGTTTCATCCACCAAACCTTTAATAGAAGCCAAAGATGTTTCAATGTGCTGCCAAAGATGTTTCAATGTGGAAAAGGGCCTCAGTCTAAACTGGGTCTCATTTCAATCTGATGCATCAGGTCTCTCCCTCCCTCCCTCCCAGACTGGCTTTGCTCTACTTTCCCTGTGGGGCTGGCACTTCGAACATGGATGGATGGATGGATGGAGAGAGAGGGAGAGAGACAGGTAGGTAGGTAAGTAGATAGATAGATAGATAGATAGATAGATAGATAGATAGATAGATAGATGATAGATAGATAGATAGATAGATAGATAGATAGATAGATAGATAGATAGATAGATAGTAGGTAGATAGGTAGATAGGTAGGTAGGCAGACCTTTTGGATGAATGTATGGATAGGTAGGTAGGCAGGCAGGCAAGCAGGCAGGAAGACAGACAGACAGACCTTTTGGATGGATAGATAGGTAGATAGGTAGGTAGGTAGATACCTAGATCTATATTGATAGATAGGTAGGTAGGTAGGTAGACAGAAAGACACACAGGCAGGTAGGTTGGTAGGCAGGCAGGCTGACAGACCTTTTGGGTGGATGGATGGATGAATGGCGACACTTTGGGAAAGTAGAGCAAAGCCTACTTTGCTCTACTTTCCAAACATGCTGCCGCCACTGCATTCGACACACCGGCTCTGCAGGCTCACCCCATTGAGCCCCTTGCACCACTCTGGTGCAACAGTCAATGGGGTGAGCCTGCGGTGCTGGTGCCTTGAACACCCCCTTGCTGCCTCTTAGCACCCCAAGGGGGCCAGCAGAGGGGCGCTAAGAGGTGGCAGTGGGGCATTTGAGGCGCCGGCCCTGCAGGCTCATCCCATTGACTGTTGCACTGCTCTGGAGATGGTGCCTCGAATGCAACAGCAGTGGCATATTACATGCTGCTGCAGCCGCATTTGACGCTCCGGCTCTGCAGGCTCACCCCATTGAGCCCCTTGCACCACTTTGGTGCAACAATCAATGGGGTGAGTCTGCAGTGCCGGTGTCTTGAACACCCCCCTGCTGCCTCTTAGCGCCCCCAAGGCACTAAGAGGTGCCAAGGGGGCATTTGAGGTGCCGGCACCATAGGCTCACCCCACTGATTGTTTCACCTCTCCAGAGCCGGCGCCTCAAATTCGGTGGTGGCGGCTTTGCTCTACTTTCCCAACATGCTGCTGCATTCAAGGCGCTGGCTCTGGAGCAGTGCAACAGTCAATGGGGTGAGTCTGTGGTGCCAAGACCTCAAACATCCTGCTGCCTCTTAGTGGCCCTCTGCTGGCCCCTTTGGGGGTGCTAAGAGGCGGCGGGGTGCCCCTTGGGGGTGCTAAGAGGCGTTCAAGGTGCCGGCTCCGGAGCAGTGCAACAGTCAATGGGGTGAGCCTGCGGGGCCGGCACCTCGAATATAATGAGGCATTATTAGAAGCCAGATTACCTGATCCTAGTCCAAGGCCTACATCACCATAATTCCGAAAGAAGGTACCGATCAGCAACTAATTCAGAATTATAGACCAATCTTGCGGTTGAACGCCGATTATAAAATATTCATGATGATATTAGCAGAAAGGATGAAACCAATATTGAGTGAAATTATACACCCTGACCAGAATGGTTTTCTACCAAATAGACAGATAAGGAACAATACAAGAACAGTGCTAAATGCTATTGAATACTATGAAGCCCACCCTGAAAAGCAAGCAGCGCTAATATTTTTAGACGCACAAAAAGTTTTTGATAATCTAAATCAGCAATTTATGTTACAGAAAATTATAAAAATGAATTTTGGAATGAATATTGAAAATACATTACAAGCAATATACTCTAGACAAAAGGCCAGTGTACTATTAAATGGGGGGTCGTACGGATAATTTCAAGATAGCCAAGGGAGTGAGGCAGGGGTGCCCATTATCGCCTCTGCTATTTATCCTGTCTTTAGAAGTGTTACTAGCCCAAACCAAACGAAATTCAGAAATAAAGGGAATTAGAATTAGGAAAGAAGAATATTAGGTTCGAGCATTTGCGGACGAGTTAGTATTTATTGTAGAAGACCCACTAGATACTGGACATACATTGTTGCAAGAAATAGAAAAATTTGGGGAGATAGCTGGACTTAAAATTAATAAGGATAAAACTAAAATGATAGCAAATTTCAGCCAAGCTTTTCCTTTCTTCAGCCACTTGGGGAGGGGAGATAAAATGTCCCAAAGATGACAGAGCATCAGATTTTTTAAAAAGTGGATTTTCATTTAGTGGTGGTCAGTGGTGGAATTCATTTTTTTTTTTTTACTACTGGTGGGTATGGCTTGGTGGGCATGGTAGGGGAAGTATACTGTAAAATCTCCAGTCAGAGGTGGTATTTGCTGGTTCTCCAAACTATTCAAAATTCCCGCTACTGGTTCTCCAGAACTGGTCAGAACCTGCTGAATACCACCTCTGGTGGTGTTTGTGGAAGACTTTTGTATTCTGAACAAGATACAGAGTAGGCTGTTTTGGATTCCCAAGGGTTAATATTAAATTATTATTACTTATTATTTTACAGCAGCAATATTTTTGAGTAACAATTAATAGCTATGTTATAAAACAGGATGTGTTTGTGTAGATTTGAGCAGTGACAGACTGTTAAATTGTGTGACAAGACACGTGCTTTGGAAGTTTTCTAAGTGCCATATTTAGTGGAGACTCCAACAGCAAAAACTTTTAAGTCTCTTGTATTTGTTCTGTGATCAAAATAATATCTACTTCATTTACAGTGTGACTATGATTTCAATCCATTTAAAAACCTGTTCAAGGCAGCAGAAAACATACCTTTTGTAAGACCCTCCAAAGGTACATCGTATGCTGGAAAGATACTAAGCCCATCTCCTGAAGTGACTGCCTATATTATGTCTCGGGTCAAGGAAGCAGTTTTGAACTGAATCATCATGAAACCAGTCACTGGCTCAAAAAGAACCTCCCTGCATTCATCATCAGCAGGCAGGAAGAGCAAATAAAGAATGAGTTATGGGCAAGCATGTCTGATACTCTTCTCCGTGCAAAGAAGGAGGAAAAGGAATTGTTATCAGAACAATGGCAGTGGAGAAGCAGTTATATTTTTCTGTATATGACTGTGTTGATCCCATTAAATATTGGACATCCAAGCTCAAGTAGATGAAATTCACTTTTTTAAAAAACCACACTGCTTTCAAATAAAAAAAGCTTAAATCTGAATTTAAATGAGAAAAGCTTAACTGGTCTTAATTGCCTATCAGCAGTTTCAGTCATTCAACAGTCATTCAAGAATTCATTGTTAAATGACATATGAAGAAGCATGATATATCCTACCTGTCAAAAACGTCAGGGAGAGGTCTGATCATCTTTTGCCATATTCCCGATCCTTTCTGGTCATTCAAGTGCCAGAGATTTCTGCTCTGCTCTTTTCCAGTCTTGTTCTCAACAAGGACAAGGGAGACATCTCCAAGCAATGTGCCTTGGAGGAGCCATGATATTTGAAGCTAAGAGAGAAAAATGTATGCAAAATAAATTAAAACGGCATGCTAGGAAATAGCAACTATCTGAATTATGTAAAATTAATCATGTTCACCATTCATTTCATCAAGGAGAGAAGCAATTTAGAACTAAGAAGAAATTTCCTGACAGAACAATTAATCAGTGGAACAACTTGTCTCCAGAAGTTATGGGTGCTCCATCACTGGAGGTTTTTAAGAAGAGATTGGACAACCATTTGGCTGAAATGATATAGAATTTCCTGCCTAAGCAAAGGGTTGGACTTGACCTCCAAGGTCCCTTCCAACTTTGCAATTCTGTTCTGTTCTGTTCTGTTTTGTTCTGTTTCGTTCTGTTCCATTCCATTCCATTCTATTCTGAAGTATGTATTATGAAGAACTGCTGAAAATACTTCTCCCATGGTTGCATGTGACTCGCTCCAATCTGTGCTCATTCTTCCCTCCACCCAGAGTAATCTAAAATTGAGTTTATATAAAAGTTTCACATTTCCTGGAATAGAAATGCCACTTCCTTTTCTTATATACCTTATTTTACACAACAGAGGAGACAGTAGATGGAATAACTATTTTGGTAATCATTTCAGAGATGGCTTATGCTGGTTTCAATACTTTCTCAGCCACTCAAAGCTAAAGTTATAAATCTTTAGCCTTGAACTCCATTCTTATTCCTGCTGTATGCCATATTGTAGGAGATAAGCATCAGCACCCCACTTTGTAGCTATTATATAATCTGGCTGGTAATCTTGGCATTTCTTTCTAGACATATAAGGGTTTACTTGTCTCACTCTGACTTATCTTAGAGCCCCATTCCATATTTACTAAGAATATTTCAATAGCAAGCTGTATAATGATTTCCAACATTACATTAATTCACTTCTAAGAAAAAAAATAAACCCACCACCAATAAAAAGTAAGAACAGAGTTCAACTGTGCAATTCCAAGTAAACCAGAAAAAGTGGAACAGAATGAATACTGAAAGAAAAGGATATTCACTTGTTTGTATGAGTCAAAAAGAAGATATTCAGTATAAAAGGAAATTGTTAATGTTGAGGTTATTAGACCAAGTCCTTTCCTAGCTCACCTTGAGGTGGAACAAAGTCTCATCAAAAGATCTGCTAGAAGGGGGCATGTTGAGACTTTCCCAAAAGAAGATACTTACTGTACATATTTACTGGCAAGACTGAATGCTTTGCCTGAGAAGTATATGATTGTTTAGTGCCAATGCTTCTAAGCAAGTGATGGACTAGAATAAGAAATCCATCATATCCTGCAGTAACTGAATTTTCTGCACTGTCTTTAGAGTCTACTTGTGTAGACTGCATTATAATAGACTAATTTAGAAGATAAACTAGCCAGGTTAGAAGTTTAATTTAGAAGATAAACCCCGTTGACATATGCTAAACTTAAACTGTACCATCAACCAAGAATCTAGGAATAGGGTTGGGCTCAGGTGGATCCCTAGACATGGCTTCTTCTAGAGAGATGGACTGGATCTTGAATAAGCATCTCTCTAGCACTACAATTAGTTCCATTTGATCTAGACTGATCTTAAAGCACATTCAATTTCCATCAGTCTTAGATAAGTATTCCGATCTCATATCTTGATATGATAAAAGGGTAAAAAAAAAAACACAACACAATACAGTACTAGCTGTTATTTGCATAGCAATAATGCCTAACTTTGTAAGGCATTTTCCATTCCTTTCATATAGATCTTAAGCAGCAGGGGAGGTAATGTGGAATTCTAAAAGTTGCCATTGATAGCATTCATTGTTTTTCTCCCCTTCATAGCATCTTTCTAGGTACTTTTTAAATCATTCCAGTATTTCTAACCCAACAATTTTGTTTATGTCTATAGCTGTAACTGTACTAGATAAATCTCTTATATTAATATTACTTTCACATAGTTCACCTCTAATTTTCTGTTATACATTTAAGTTCTTGGACAGTTCTAGTGCCGGATACTACATCCAAGGCCTCTATGAAATCTCTGTCATCAAACACAGGGCACTTCCTATACTGGAAGAATTCTCAGCTCAGCTTAGAATTTAAATATGCCTCTTTTTCTAAACTGTACATTAATATTCATATGATTTTTAAATAGCAAATCCCCCCTCTCTCTAGACATGGTTTAACAAATACATGTTAAAATACACAGAGGTTTGTTTTTTATAATGAATAATTTTGTATTCAGGCAATGGCACAGAGAAGTACAAAGAATGCAGTAAGAAGGTATTGCTAGCAATTATATAGTTATCTCTCTTGATATTAGAAAAAATGGTTTTATCATTTCCCCTGAAGGTTATTATAAATTTTTCAATTATGCTCCAATGGTATTTGGATTTCTATTAATTAAAATACCATACACCAAAGTAGTGTAACTGATTACACTTAGGTTTAGAGTAACCAAGTCTCTCTGTGATCTTTTTATTCCCTTCCTAATGCTGTATTTGCCATTTAAAATTGGCTTTGTCTCATTGTTGAGAATGAATTTTTTTGCAATTTTGATAAATCTCAATAAAGTGCAGTATGAATTTGCATGTGCTTATATGAATAAGAAATAGGAAAAGGACAAAGAATTTACAAAATTAAAATTGTGAAAATTCAGGAAAGTCCAAACATTCAAAAAAGGGGGGAAAAAACCCAACAATCCAGAACAATATTAGAATACTGGGAGTTTTGTTATTATTATGATCAGTATTGAAATTATGTTTAATAATAATAACTTGTTTAATGCTTTGTCTGTCTGTATGTTTGAATATATATATATATGTGTGTGTGTGTGTGTGTGTGTGTGTGTGTGTGTACATTCAAATAACTGAACCATGTGGAGTTGGATCTTGAAAATTATCTAATCCTTTAGTATCCTAATAGTTACCCTAAATCCAGCTACACTTTGCCTATCCTGGAAGACATTTCTCCCATATAAAGTTTACTTTTAGTTCCTTCTTTATTTTTCATGGTTTCACAAGCAACCACTATTAATTAGAACAGGGATGTGGGATATACAATTCTCCAGTGTGGATAAATTACAATTTGCAATCCTTGATATGTATTGGCTGGAATTTGCTAAGAGTTGTAATACAGCATTATCTAGAAAATGAAAAGATAAGCCATTTCTGCCTATCTCCACAGAACCATTCCATGACGTGCTTTTCACTTTTTCTGGCATTATAGCTGAATTACTGAGCAGAGCATAGAGTTCCATTGTAGAAATTGATTACTTCCAGCTAAGTATGCTCATTAAAACATTAAAATTAGAAATGAAACATGGCAAGTCACATTAACATGCATAGCTTGAACAAGGAGCCTGCTGATGAAATGATAAACCCACATCCCCACATATTCATTTAGCCAGTCTTAGGGCTCTTCTGCGTGACCAGCTAACTGCAGGCAAGCAACACTTCAGTGGTCATTTATGATGCCATCTTCAGCTCTCCTCTATCCTGTTGAGGAGGCAGCCTGCAATGATGCTCTCAGGCTTTGCTTTTAAAATGGCATTTTTGACTGTGCACCAGCATGAGTCCAGGTATATGTTTTCTCTGCTGTTCTTTAATTCAATCTGGGCAATGTCTGAACTTTTATTTGTTAATATACAGAGTTGCCAAAATATTCCCTCTCCCTTCTGATTATGGGTTTCTGTCCTTCACATCTATTCCCCAAATGTTTATATGTGAGAAAAGGGACATGTCCTTAAATCCTTTTGCTGTATCAGGCAAAACAGGCCTGAGGCATTATGTGGGATCCTATATGGGTCTCTGTTTGACAACTGTACTCTGAGAAACATGTTCACCGACTCCATCCTATGTGCAGCCATTGTAAGAATAGAAACTGGTCAGGGAGGAACAGTAGTGGATTTACGAAACACTATATTTTTTCTTTTAACAGATTCTCCACTAGACCAAAGAAACATGACTTTTCCCCCTCTTCCAGGTGAAAAGGAAAGCTTTTCTTCTGGCATAAATGACAGGATGAAGGTTAAAAATGATGCAAGTAGGGGGTTGCATAAAGCTGTCCAGGCATACCCTGCTATATATAAGAATGTAGAATAGAATAGAACTGGAAGACCTTGAGGTCTTCTAGTTCAGGCCCCTGCTCAAGCAGGAGATCCTATACTGTTAAAGACAAGTGGCTGTCCAGTCTCTTCTTAAAAAAATTCCAGGGATGAAGCGTCCATGATTTCTGAAGGCAAGCTGTTCCACTAGTTAATTATTGTCACTGTTGGGAAGTTTCTCCTTAATTCTGGGTTGCTTCTCTCTCTGGTTAGTTTCTAACCATTGTTTCTTGTCCTGCCCTCTGGTACTTTGGAGAATAATTTGATCCCCCTTTCTTTGTGGCAGTCCCTCAAATATTGGAAAGCTGCTAGTTCTTTTCTCTAGACTAGCCAAACCCAAACCCTGCAACTGTTCTTCATATGTTTTAGTCTCCAGGCCTTTGATCATCTTAGTTGCTCTTCTCTGAACTTGTCCCAAAGTCTCAGCATCGTTTTTGTAGTGCGGTGACCAAAATTGGTTGCAGTATTCCAGGTGTGGTCTTACTAGGGTTTTATAAAGAGTGGGACAACAGTAAAAAAAACCTGCTTCATGACCCCCATCATGTGTGTTTGGAACCTTACATATCTCCATCTAGATCAGTGCTGTTGGTTCTACTAGAAGGAAATAGTTCCGAAGTTATCTGTGAATCAAACCTTTGTAAGCTAAAAGCCTGACCCTTTTTGCCTTCTGGAAGGTTGTTAATACCTTTTGATTGCTCAAGTGTTAGAGTTAGGATGTCAATGGAGACCAATGAATGCATGTTTGTTTGGTAAAATAATTATATAGTGCCCTTTTTTGTAATAGATAATTGTTAATTTTGGTCTGGGAAATTTTTCAATATTTTTTTTTGTAAATTGATCATTTGGCATAAATTGTTATATATTTAAGGTGAGTGGCCCAAGGAGTTTTATAAATAAATAAATATTGTGGAGTCCCAAGTGGCAACAAACTTTA